ATAATCTGCATTTTTTAAATTTTATTTACCAGAAACTTCAAAATAAATTCTCACCCTGTACTGAAGCCTGTTTCAGGGACTTACCACCAGCATTACCACCACCTGCTGGTGAGGCGCGTGATGTCAATTTGAACACAGCCCACTAGAACCAGTACTGAAAGTATAATGGAAACACAACATGTACCGTACCGAGCCAAGTCGAACCGTGCTGTACCGGTACTAAAGGTACTAATGGAAAAGGGGCATTATTGTCTATGCTGCAGTATTTAAAACCATTTTATATATATATATTTATTTTAAGTTTCTTTTTTTTTTTTGAGGAAAAAAAAGGTTTACTAATTTTGAGACAAACAGTTCAATACTGTGGTATTTGAAACAAACTGTTGTCTACAGTTTTTGGGAAAACACCCTGTTGTCTACGATTCCTGCTTGGCCTATGGAGGATTCCAGAAACGGTGCCATGGCAGCTCATTTTCCACAAGTCCCTGCTTCTCTGTTGACTACAAACTACAACAACGAACATTTTTTATCAGCTTTTCTACATTTGGCTGGTTTTGTCCTCACGCTGTCGACAACAAACTTTAGTCATTTGTTAAAAAAATTAGAATGATAAATCATTGTCATTGTCACTGTCGGAGAAAAACGAGTAGTTTGTAGAGAATTTATAATCGTACTCAAAATGATGATTTGTTAATGTCAGCGTTATTGCCTCCAAGTTGCGCTGTGTAAGTATTTCAGATCTTTTGTAAAAATTTACATTTAGAGAACTTTAAATAAAGCAAGCAAAACAATAGTTCACAAAATGGTCTGCAGTAGTACAGTCAGGGACTCAAACTTTATTTGAAGGGTAAGGTTCATTCAGAGAAAACCATGGTTGTTTTGTTTTTAAACTTTGGTGTATACTGTAGCTGCAGAAATTACTTTTTTTTTCTTTCAAAAATCTAGTTTCACACAGTTAATAAACCTGAACTGAACCCATTTATCAGTCAGTTCAGAAAGATCAAATAACACTCAACAGAAGACTTCTATGTTTAATTAAGCTACATTTGATCAGAATATTGTGCTGCTAAAATATTTTTAAATACGATTTTTTAACTGTGCAGCAATTCCTCATTCCTGTTTTAACTAAGCTTCAGAGACAGAAAGGAGTTTTTGCAAGTGCATACAGGCAGCATGAATGAAACCACAGTGCATGTTCTCTAAGTCATGATAGAGGAGATAATCATAGGAGACACTTACTGAGATTACAGTCTATCCTGATACAATCTGGTGAGAGAGAGAGCGAGATGGTGAGGTTAAAAGAAAAAAAATGGAGAAGAACAGCACAAAAGAGGAGAATATTTCACATCCTTCAAGGTATATTCTGCAGACAGTTCAGAACTTTTTCAGAGGCCACCATCCGGGGACAGCCTGGAGAGTCTAAACCACCACTTTCCTCTCTGCAGACTTCATATTGACCCAGTGAGAAAAGAGGAAATCGCTCACCATGAGACCGGCTCTGCTGGAGGCCCGGCAGAGACGATCACAGTTAGGATCAATAAGAAGTTTATCCAACATAAAAGTAAAAGGTGCACCAGGGTTTTTGTGTTTTCCCCATCGATATCAGCTCTGCCGCGGCGGCTTACGCCTGGCTTCAGCAGGACATGATAGTTTCAGAAACCATGACTGATATATTTACTGACATGTGCTCTGAGGGAGTTCAGCAAACATCCACTGCTTTGAGGAAAGTCGTTGGAAGCAGCAAAAACAGAATGTGTGCTATTTCTGAGCATGGCATGTGCAGATATTGAATTTTATCACATAAACCATCATAAAAGCAGCACAAGAAAACAAAAATTAAAGGACTTCAAAAAGCAGGAAAGGAGCGAGTTTGCAATAAATGATCAAGATCTGATAAAATCGCTCTCTTTTTAAAATGCATTAAGTTTCATTGTGTTGTCGCTCTTGAACTGATGCACCTTTCCCACTTAGATTAAAACTGCTATTAAGCCTCGCTCTTGTTCTGCAGGCTTAATGGCAATCATTTTTCCACGTTAAATACAGAAGGAAAGCGGCGATTTGCACAACCGGCAGCCACGATGAAACTTACACCATGAAAAAAAAAAAAGACCAAATATGTCAGCAATAACAAGTAAAACCGTTAAATATCTTATAAATCCATAATAAATATTTAACTGCAGGGCTTGAAAATGAAATGATTTAATCATCATCCACTCTTGTTCTGAAAATTTAAACTAACGTGAGTGTAGAAGAATACGTCGGTGTAAGTCACGTGGCGGCGGAGTGCTCTCAGGCCGTCAACCATCACAGAGCAGTGGAAACAGACAGCCAGAGACCAGAGAGTGTGTGTGTCTGTGTGTGCGTGAGCATCCATCACTGGCACTTCCTGTTCAGTGAAGTGACTCTGATCTGGACGGGCCAGTAAATGTGAGGCGATGGAACAACAATGGGCCCATCTCCAGCGCGAGCGCTTTAAGTGGTGATATTTCAGAGTAATGATGGATCGGGTCTCTGACTGCCCTCTCCTTGAACTGCAGACGAGCCATTGAAGGGCTGAAAGAGCCGAGACGGTCAGGTGGGACCTGACCCGGTCAGGTGGGACCCGACCCCAAGGTGAACCGAGAGAGAAGAGGAGGAGACGAGAGGCAGAAAGAAAAAAGGCAGAAAACAGCATGCACAGCTACACTTGTTTAAAAAGGCCCCCTTTGTTTTGTTGCTTTCTTTTGTTTACATTTTTAATTTACGCTCACGTTATGTTTGCTAAATAACTTCAGGTCAATGCTATTTTATTGGTTTTTTTATGTGTAAATTACAGACAAATCTAGTCTTGTCAAACTAAATATAAATGGCGAGTCTACCCAGAAATATTGTGGCACAACACCGAATCTTTCTGCGTTCTGACTTTTGTTTTAATTCACACCTCACTGTCTCCCGGTGTTTGCCTTAAAATAAACGCTGTTCACTAATGTCAACACGGTTTTGTTTTGTTGTTGTTTGTTTCTTAAAACACACGTCTAAGGGATTCTAGCCTTTCCAGTCTACCTCGGCGTAAATTTGAAGAATAACTGCGTGTTGTTTGGAGCTCTGATCTCTGGTGCCTAATAGGACCACGTTACCATGGAAACACAATGAGACTTTTGTCGAATGTCAAAGCCTCTTTTTCTTCCCTCGGGCTTTCTGACTAATGCTGTCACCATAAAATAATGTCAAAAACAGTCTTTTTATAAACGGGTAGCAAGTATTCATTTTATTCATGAAAACCTCGAGTGTGTTGTATTTGTTGCCCTAGGAGTCTCGTAATTAAAAATTTAAAAACTGTTTATTGAAAAGGAGGATATGACCATCAGTTTATTTCATCACTAAATCTATTTGATGTGAGTCATACAGGGATGGAGTTCACAGAAAACATTGTGTACTTTATTAGTATTGCTGAGTATGCCGATGTATATTATGACATGGCCACTGTCCAATATGGCTACACCTGGTTGTTGCAGATTTTTATTGTGAAACACTGGAGATTGAAAAAAAAAAACAACAACTAAAACTGGACTAAACTGCATCAGAATAAAGAGGTGTGGCCTAACCTTTATCTTTACATTCTCAGCTGTTTACTTGAATATTTTCCAGAGCTGAAGTGTTATTTTTACACTTTAATGACTTGTTGGTTTTGAAATGTGACGTTTTAAAATTTATATTAAAAAAATCACAACTGTTTTGTTTTTACACATAGTTAAAACTACAATGTCATAGAAAGTATGTTATAATTTTACTTAATAATTTTTTTACGTTTTCTTTTTTGTTGTAGCTTTTTTTAATTTTCATTTTCTCTTATATTTTTGTGAGACAAAGGAATGGTGGCAGGAGAGTGTTTTTGAATTAGTTTTGTTCAGATTATGAGGTTTCTTTACATTCTGATTTTTCTTTTTTCCTGAACCTACCATGATAATACGCAAACCAAAAGTAATTAATTAGGTACTGATTGTGTAAAGTGGCCACATGTATAAAATAAAAAATTAGCAGAGATTAATGTTTACAAAATCATGAAAAATGTATGATGTGTATGTGGTGACAACACAAATGAATGCAGTTAGAATAAATAAATTAAAACATTGATGTAGTCCAGATTATAATGTGAAAATATAACAGTTATTGTACTTTTAAAGCTTACACTTTGAGGATATTAATAATTTTGTGTAATGCAATGCTGCATTTAAACAGCACCAAATGATGAAGCACTTTTAAAAATGACAGTTTTTGATACAGAGCATGTTAAAAAATCTAGTGAGAAACACGCAAAGATGACTTTATATTCTCTAATAATTTGTACTTGAGTTAAGCTTGAGCTTTAAGAGATTAGGAAACGGAGCCCGGCGTGAGACAGACACTTTTCTTACAAGGACAGAAGGATAGTTTACATCTTGGTAAAATGAATCTGAGGGAAAGTCTTATGTGCTGTGTCCTACGCGCATCTCCCCGGGCCAGGACGTGTAATAAAGAGCTTTCTTCAGAAACCTGACTCGACATCATAAGTAGGTTCCTGACTGACTGGCATAATAATATTTCTGTAATAAAAGGCACATAGAAAGGGGAAATAATGTGCTTTATAGAGGAACTAGTTCACTTGGTTCTTTCTACGTTGAATACATTTGGCACAACCAAAACTATAGAGGACGGATCAAACATCAGAGCAGTCGAGGTACATGCTCATCTTTTTAAACAACTGTAGCGACTGTGCATGTGGAAGTGTATGGGAGAGCCTCTGATAATACCAATGCATTGATATTTCTGACTGGGTGACACATCCCGTTAGGTCAAGTGGAATGATCTGCTCATATTTGCTGTATCAGCTTTACCCAGGTTCACGGTGAGTTTGACTCGGCCTCCGTCCAGCTCCACGCGCAGCGTATCTGCTGACTGCTGAGATGTGGTGGCCATCAGTAAACCAAAGGCCCTCTGGGACATAAAGCGCAGGGACACGTCCTCGGCCTCGGTGTGCAGCGTCCTCGGCAGCACCACCTTCAGAAACATGCTGCCGTCGTAGCTCACCGCCGTGGCCTCTGTGGGGTTTTAGTTACAGAACCGTTAATAGACACTGAACCGCAGAGGAATAAACACAACAAACACACTGAATAACAGGCATAAAATAAAACCTGTATTCATTTTAGAGATTCTTTTAGGTACATAAAGATAATAATTTTAAATTGCAGTTTTCATCAGCCACACCAGATGGCAGAAAAGGCCTGAAGCACACAAAGACAGTGGCAAGATTGCAGCAGCCATTAAATTTCAGAAGGATTTATTTCCATCACAGTGCAATACAAGAGGGATTTTCATACATCCGTCATACTATTAGCTGCCAGTGGATCTGCGTAATTTGGCCTCTGTGTGAAAAAAACCATCTGCATGGAAAATGCAAAGTGATTTAGGCCAAATGACTCTGCTGAAGCATCACTGCATCTCTAATGAAACACACAGCACTGGCAACCTCACAACACTGACAATTCATTAATAAATCACTCTGCTGTAGAAAAATACTGCAATTTACTTTAGAGTGATTAAAAAAAATATTTTGTGCTGTCACTTTCTCTAGGCTGTTTTGTGCAAATAAAGTATTATTTGGAGGTGAGAGTCTGGCTCATTTAAATACATATGAGTATAGAGTATGATCCTACTGAGCTTGCAAATAAAATTATTATTGTTTAGAGACTCTGCCTATTACATCGAATGATGAATTTTCCCTGTTTCTACATTATTTTGGTCTGTGAAGTCACTTTTTACACCTTGCCTAATAAATAAAATACAGCCTAAAGTGCGTTAAAAGCTCTGCAGCAGCATCAGTCCCCCCCCCCACCATCCATTACCCTCCCTCCCCCAAAGTCTTACCCTTCTCACAGCTGGGGCCTATGAAGCCAGTGCTGTTGCAGTCGCAGATGTGGCGGTTCCAGCCCTCTCTGCAGTGGCCCCCGTTGGCGCACGTGTCTCTGGTGCACCTCGAGTGAGTCTCCCTGGTGCAGAGACTGCTGACACCGGTGGCGCTCTGGACCTCAGCCAGCCTCCACAGGTTACGGCTCTGCCCGTCAATGAACAGGTCCCTGACGCAGCCCACGAAGCCGAGGCCAAGAGAGGCCGTCCACACCTCAGGTGGGAGAACGAGGGCCTGCCGGTCTTCGGGTAAACCTCCCAGATACATGTCTCCATCTAGGTCAAGGATCTCGCTGCCTTCATTAGCGGTGAAGGGGATGCTCTGGCTGTTCACAGAGATAAAGCCTGCAGGAAAGGCGTTAGCACCGAGTCAGTCTGAAGGGTTTTGTTGCAGAAGGAAAAGAGTTGGTGATACAAGAGTTAGTCTAAGGTTGAAAAAAAAGCTGCTTTAAAGTTCTCTCACCAAAGATGATATTGTGAGCAAAAGCAGAAATTAACATTTGCTCTGGAAACATTAGGAGGTATAAACGACAAACATGAGCTTATATTAGCAAGAAGAAGAAGGAACGCTGTGTTTCATTTGAATTCTGCTAATAAGGCAGACACTTGCATCGAACAAACAAGGCAGACATTTACCAGTTTCACTCAGGCTGTATAATTGGCCTCTTGTGAAATAGGTTAACACAGATTTCAAAATGTCATTTCAAGATTACAGCAACTAAAAATATCATTACAATTAAAACCTAATATGCATGCATGTTCTGCGGCGGGGAATAAGAAGCAGCACGAGTGCGTGGATGTCACTGTATCCATGCTGGCATACGGTAATTTCACAGCTTGGAGTCCTTAATGCTCCGGAGCTAAAACCGAAGGAGCACAAGAGCAGACAGAAGGTTTCCGCCGCCTTCACAAAATGCATAAATTATCTCACCATTGCGCCCTTTCCTCTGGAAGTCCACGTGGCACCACTCGCCATCATCAAGCCTCTTGTTGCTGGCTTTGATCTTGATGCTGCCCGAGCCCATATCCATGACCAGGTAGAGAAGTCCCTCCATCAGCTCGACGGCGAAGAAGTCGGCGCGGGGTTTCCTGTCTGGGACCGTACCCTGCAGGTTGCCGTGGCTGAACAGCAGCAGGCCGCTGGGCTCCGTGGAGCGGAAGTCAAAGGAAATGGCGCCCGTCTTCTTTGTGTTCCACCTGGGCAACGTCAAGTAAGCGTGCGGCGTGTCAAAGGTGACCGGCTCCAGAGCCTCCACATTTTCGCAGCTACACATCAGGTCTCCATGGATACTGATCTTTGTGTCTCGCTGTTCAGCCATCCGTGACAGCTCCAGCCTAAACTCATTATTCTTGTAGACCACCTGAAGAACCAGAGAGAGGCTGTGTTGAGACGACAGCTGGGAACGAGGTTGATTATTACTCATCAATACATTTCAGCTTTTACACGATGGGTCTCTCAACTCAAACAGTTTATATTATTTTAATTTTGGTCACTCCAATCATTTGAGGAAACTATACTTTTAAGCAATATAAAAACTAGAAAGCATAGTTTCTGCAATGGTTGGTTTACATATCTATATGGTGACAATCATCTTGGATTTTAACGTGGCGGCCCAATTTTCAAAAGTGACCTTTCTTAGGCCTAGATGTAGCCACATACCAAAATGAAAGTAGGTACCTCACTTGTTTTTCAAATTATCATGCTCACAAGATGGACAGACGAATGGACAGCGGATATATCTAATTCCCCATCTTCACTCCTCGATGGGGGACAAAAAGACACCGGCCTGGAGGATAAGGTTGCTCTACCCTTGACTGCAATATCTATAGACATAAACTAGACCAACAGTTTGATTATTCATCCCACCAAGTCTTCAAACGATAAGTGAAAATTTGACATTCACAGTGAAGTTGTGTTTTGAAGCAGAAAATCTCACATTTAGCTGTTGCAATCTCAGTTCTGTTAAATCACATGGCTCTGACGTGCCAGATGGTTCGTTACATACAACCATTTGGAACGTCCTCTATGGAAACTGGAAAATTCAAGTCCATTTAAAAAACCTCTCACAAGGTAAAATGTCTATAACAGCTCCAAGAAAATTTAATCTTACTAGTAAAATGTTTCAAAGTTGATTTATTTCTACACCTAATACCTCTCTAAGCTAGAAATAATTGGTCCATGCGGAGGATTTTAGCCACAAACAGATAAAACTGAAGCTAAATTTAATTCAGCTGTCCTCCCTTACATTTTCAGGGAGTTACACTTCAAGCTAAGACCCCTCACAAATAAAACTGAATACTGAAACAATCATTTCTGATAACTGTAAGGTTTAATTTGATGTATTCAGATGTGTTTGGCTTAACACCAGTGACAATTTTCAACAAAAAGCACAAAATATAAACAATAGTGTATTTATCAGCTAAATAGATTTTACTGTCACATTTATAATGTCTATTTTGATGCATTCTAATAATCTATTTGGTAATAATCTATCAATCATGAAAACAAGCCTAAATCCATTGCAAGCCAGATAAAGTACTTACTCTATGTGGTCTACATGGGAATATTGATGTTGTTTATTTGCGTAAAAGTATCTGATAAAGGCTGATGGATGTTTTCTTAAAAGAGTGACCCATTTTTTAGTAAAGTATTTTAATAACTGACCGTTGTGACACTGAATTAAGGGTCAAAAGGTCAGAGATGGGTAAACTCTAGAACACGAGATTCAGTCGAGATGACCAAACATATTGGAATGAAACTTTGCCAAATCAGTCAGCTGCCTCTCTAGACAAAGATCTGCTGAGTTGAGAGCCAAAGAAAATAAAATACAAGATTCAAGGTTCAGTTAGGAATGAGATCATCAGAGATACAGCACAAGTTGAAGGACTGGGAGATCAAGTTAGAGAGGCCAGACTGAGATGGTTTGGACATGTCCAGTGGAGGGACAGTGGATATAATGGTAGGAGGATGTTAGAAATGCAGCTGCCAGGAAAAAGACAGCGATACATGGATGCAGAGGACATGGAGGGAGTTGGAGATATGACCACATCGCTGCAGCTCATCACTCAAAAAGTAGCTGGACCTAAAGTATGGCACACCTGCACTAGGATTTAGTACTTTATCTTCAGGATAAACTTGTTCACTCCAGACCAGAACTGGTTTCAACAACAAGAATCTCTGTAAGTCAAGGCACTAACTTCTGACCAACAGATGTTCTTCAAAAATGAAAAAAGGCATTTATGGAGATCTGTTCTGGCATCTATCGTCTCTGTGGTAACTTTCAATGAGAAGCATTTCAGTCTTTAATTTGTTTCTTTAACCTTTAAAAAATTAGGAAGATTTTTTTTCTTCCTTGTTGCACCCTTACTCAACCTTGAAATATTATCTTTAAAAACAGTTAGTAAAGAAGTTTAACACACAAGCATGTGCTCATATTTATATCCACATTCTTATTGTAAAATGTTTTAAAGACTAAATAAAATCACTGGACAACCAAACCGTTTTCAGCTAATAGATAACTGGAAATGAACATTTACGCTGACTGGTTAAGGTTTTGTTTTGTTTGTTTGTTTTTGTGCAAATAAAAAATACATTTAAACATCTAGAACTGCATCCCAAACTTTTTCCTGCAGGGACTCCTTTGAATTAAAATAACTTTTTTTAAATGCCTCTCTGTGCAAAATGGTATTAAAAACATATTAAAAACATGAACTCCCTGATCAGGAATAAATAAAGTTTGTTATCAAAAATTACACATTTAAATCTCACTTATTTTCAATACCTCCAACAACCTGGTCCCACACACCTTCCTTTACAAAATAACAAGATACAAAATAAAGAAAAATCCGTAAATAAAAAAAAAGGCACAATTTGGCGCGAAATTAAGCTAGCTAGCATAACTGTGACACACAAGCTAGCATTAGCTTACAATACATTCAAATAACGCATATTTCGGCTCAAATAGGCCAGATAACGCTCTGTAGTGAAACAAACAGCATTCCTATTCCCACGCAAGTACATATATGTACTTGACTCAAATAACAAAAATGTATTTCATCAGAACCCAGGGAATCGCACATCTTACCTCATAACCCAAAGCAGCATCTAGTGGGGGTCTGTGAATGTGCCAGGCTGGATAACAGTACAGCATGGGCTGCGTTCAAGTGCAGTAGGACATACTGGGCATATATACTTTCTCAAACGTACTAATACAAAAACTTAACTGATTTGCTTAACAAATCATAACCAGTTTGGTGAAGCATTATTTAGAGTAATATTATTAACCTGTTACACTAGTGTCCAAGTATTCTTTTTTTTTTTCCATTCAGTCATTTACTTATTTTTTTATGTTTTAAGACTGCAGCAATCTACTTTGTTCTTTGCCTTGTCCTGTAGCTCGTCAGTCTGTCTAGGATCAAACTATTTCTCCTATACTATTTCCAAACTAAAGTTGTTTATTTTATGAACAACTTTAAATTAATGGAAATTTCTGTTTTCTAAGGGGTTGTGTTTAATAATAATGTGTAACGCTCCTGAAAACATAGAAATAGTCAGAAAAATCCAAGATCTTTACAGGGCTTTGGCCCCCCTGGGTACTGACCCTGAATTTGAGGCGGCCCACGCCCCCATCTGTTTTCTTTGTTTTTGAAATGTCATATGTCCATTTTGGTCTTTGCTCTGCTTGAAATAGCTGTTAGCACATGAATCAATTTGTAATGAACTTTATTTTCCCAAACTGAGTTCATCCAAAGAGCTATCTGCATCAGGTAAGATACTTACTGGTCATTAACCTCCAGTAAGACCTCACATCAAAATGTCTAAACTATGACTTTATGAAGAATATGGAAACCAGATTTAAACCTTTGTTATTCTTTATGAAGCAGGTAAATCTTTTATTGTTTGGTCAGAAAATATGAACTTCTGTTTCATTTTCTGGAAGCATCACCATTTAATGAATATTTATTATTGACTGAAATCCACAAAATAAAAATAAAAACACACTGACTTCTATCAGATGTGAAATCTGACTGATTGCCTGCACAGGTTTCTGTCTTATGTTATTGTTGCCTTTCATTCGAGGTTCATCACTATTCAGAGCAACCCTTGTCTCATTTTGTATCAGCGGTAAGTCACCTCATCATTATCAGCCACCGCCTGAAGTGACACACACGACTGATCCGCAGAGCTGGTGGGGGTGCGTCACCCTGCCTCGGTGAGACTAATCAGGCTGAGAAATCTGATGGAGAAACTGACCGTCGAGAAGTGAGCGTAATGGGCAGATCTGAAACGAAGAAGTCGGTCAGGACAGTCAGATGCTGCAGTCAGAAGCACGACGCTAACGGCCACAAAGGGCACAGTGACCTCTGCAGAGCCGTTATAGCAGCCGAAGGAGAAAACAGAGGAATCCTGTTTCACACATCCAGACGCTCGCTGTGTGTCAGAGATAAACAGCTGAAAAAGCTTGTGTGATGTCACTGGACAGAGCCCCGTGTCATTAATGCTCGTCTTGTGAGGAGGACCAACACTCATAATCTGTGAAGCTTCAAGAGGCAGAAAACTGCAGAGTGGGAAACCTCTGGACTTCAGGGACACATCTGTCTATTCTGGTCTGTTGGTGCAGGAGTGACACTCTGCTGAAATCAGCCGTTATTACTCCTCCACCTGAAGGACCTGAAGGACCTGATGGACCTGAAGAACCTGACAAATCTGACAGACCTGAAGGATTTGAAGGACCAGATGGACCTAAAGGACTTGATGAATGTGACAAACCTGACAAACCTAAAGGATCTGATGGATCTGATGTACTTGAGGGACATGACAAACCTCAAGCACCTGATGGATTTGATTGACCTCAGGGACATGCTGGACCTCAGGGACCTAATGGACTTCAGGGACCTGACTGATTTGATGAACCTCAGGGAACTGATGGACCTCAGGGACCTAATGAACTTCAGGGACCTGATTGATTTGATGAACCTCGGGGAACTGATGGACCTCAGGGAACTGATGGATTTGATAGACTTCAGGGAACTGATGGATTTGATGGACCTCAGGAAACTGATGGACCTCAGGGATGTGATGGATTTGATGGACCTCAGGGACCTGATGGATCTGATGGACATCAAGAACCTGATGGACATCAGGAACCTGATAGATCTGATGGGCATCAGGGACCTGATGGATTTGATGGACATCAGGAACCTGATGGATCTGATGGACATCAGGGACCTGATGGATTTGATGGACCTCAGGGACCTGATGGACCTCAGGGACCTGATGGATCTGATGGAAATCAGGAACCTGATGAATTTGATGGACCTCAGGGACCTGATGGACCTCAGAGACCTTATGGATTTGATGGACCTCAGGGACCTGATGGATCTGATGGACATCAGGGACCTGATGGATCTGATGGACATCAGGGACATGATGGACCTCAGAGACATGATGGGCCTGTCCTCTACTGTGTTACACCTGCAGACGTTGGCTACTCTGCACATCTCCTCAGACATCTGAGATTTAGATGTTTTCCCGTCTGCTGGTCTTCTTCTCTTGGGGTCAGGGATAAAAAGTCAATTTTTCCGTTCACCACCGAGATGAAGCCCTTTGACCCGGACCGACACGTTTCAACTCTCCTGCTGCTGGGACTTTTTTATTACAGCGTCAGCCATCTTCTATCCTCTTCTCCTCTCCGTGTGCTCCCTCCCTCACTCTCCTCATGCCTACGGTACATCTGTGTGATTATGCACAGCAGTAGTAGGTCCAAACACCAGCAGCAGCCTCACCGCCCACGGAGCGGAGGTTGGAGCGTTGGCAGCGGCGGTGGAACAATAACCTGTCCATAAATAACATCTCATTTTCTTTCAGTGGATGCAGATGGAAGTGTAATTATGTAAACAGTCCATTTAACACCATTCAACAGACGCAAAAAGGTGCTTTCAAAGGTCCAGGTTACACTCCTCAGTAACACGTTCAGCCAACACTGTGACAAACACAATCAGAGGGAATTATCCCAGCGTTAAAGCTTTCCTTCAATAGATGCTTATCACCCGCCACCTTAAAATCCTCTCAGTACCACGAGATGTCAGGATCAGCGCACGTGTTGGGAGTGATGCTCAGCTACTACCACATCAAGTTTTAGCTCAACATCTGGAAAACTGTTAAGAGTTTGAGCCCGTTAGACGTGGTGGCCGTACTGGACTGGGTTGACTCCAAAATTAAAATTTTAGATCTACTGTACATCCAATGAATATTTTCTGAATGTTTTATTAAAACATACCCTATAGAAAAATATTATATGTCCGAGTGTTTTACTGTGTTCTTCTTTGTACCAAGTTGCAGTAATTAGTCTGTTTATTTTCCTTCACATTTAACTATTTAAACAGTTGCATACCCTTCAGCTAAATTAAAGATGAGCGTCTGCCAGCAGCAGTCCTTCTTCAGCTTGTAATGTATAAATAATTGCAGTGGAGGGCCGTGCATTTTACACCAAGGCCTTCAGTGTGTCTGCCTGAGTTTATCCACTTTTTAATCCTGTTGTTATGAGCCGCAGCTACAGAAACCATCAACGATACACAGAAAGGTGGTTTAATATGGTGCTGCATCACAGACAGGCAGCTCATGTAGAATGAATGACATTCCTGAAGCAACACAAGTCAACAAGTTTCCTTCAACTGCAGCCACAGCTGCACCACATTCACATTTACCAGAAACATCAACATGGACGTAACGAAATGACATAAATATAAAACATCTGAATAAAATATATTTAACTCCCCAAAAGGTTTGATTATTTCCTCAGAGTTCAGGTCTGTCGCCATGGAAGCTAACACTAACGTCCAGTTTGCTCTGTCGTGTTTCTGACACAAGTTTTAATTCACTTTAGGGCTGAGAATGTCCATTCGACATTTAGCTTGTGCACTTTGTTACAGATGCAGTTTCCTAGCTCCGCCCAGTCTGCTCTTTGACCGTCCAATCAAACGGCATGAAAATGCTGACCTTGCCTTAACGCCTGCTAGAAGGCCTCGGTGTCACCAACTCAACATCTGGTTGATAGATTCCAGTTTGTAAATGTAAATAATAAATCTTCTTCATACACCAAAGTTAGTCATGAAGTTCCTCAGGGCTCAGTGCTTGGGGAAATACTCTTTACTTTATATATGCTTCCATTAGGTAAAGTTATTAAACAGCTTGGGATAAATTTTCATTGTTATGCTGATGACACACAATTATATTTGTCCATTAAACCCAATTAATCCAATCAGCTACTTAGACTACAAGCATGTCTTAAAGACTTAAAAACCTGGATGACCCTTAATTTTCTCCTGTTGAACACATATAAGGCTGAGGTTTTGGTTTTTGGACCTGAGCACTGTAGTAATTAATTTTTCAATCTTTCTCCCTCCTTAGATGGCATTAATTTGGCCTCCAGCTCTAATGTTAAAAATCTTGGTGTTATTTTTGATCAGGACATGTCTTTTATCCCCCACATTAAAAACGTTACTAGAACTGCCTTCTTCAATCTGCGTAATATCGCTAAAATTAGAAACATCTTATCTAAAAATTATGCAGAAAAACTGGTCCATGCATTTGTCACGTCTAGACTGGACTATTGCAATGGTTTATTATCTGGATGTCCAAATACTTCTTTTAAACATCTTCAGTTGATCCAAAATGCTGCTGCCAGAGTCTTAACCGGAGTTAGTAGGAGAGATCATATTTCTCCAGTTTTAGTTTCTCTCCATTGGCTCCCTGTCAAATCCAGAATACACTGTAGAATTCAAAATCTTACTTCTAACCTACAAAGCTCTCAACAACCTGGCTCCATCTTATATTACAGATCTTATTGTTCCATATTTTCCTAACAGAGCACTTCGCTCTCAGACTGCAGGTTTACTTGTTGTTCCTAGAATTTACAAAAACAGAATGGGAGGCAAATCTTTCAGTTATCAGGCTCCTCTCTTGTGGAACCAACTTCCAATCTCTGTCCGTGAGGCTGACACACTATCCAGTTTTAAAACTAGGCTTAAGACTTTCCTTTTTGCTAAATCCTATAGTTAGGGTTGGCTTGGGTTTCCTGAGCTGTCCCTTAGTTATGCTGCTATAGGCTTAGACTGCTGGAGGACAAACTGACCACAATTTTCACTCTGCTACTGTCTTTACTTACTCTGCTCAACCTGTTTTGTATTTGTAATTAATTTTTCTATCCTTAACATGTGTTTTTTTTTTTGTCTTTCAGATACACCTGGACCTATACCTGGACCTACCATTCTATGTTCGTCTGTCTCTCCTTCCTGTCCTCTCAACCAGCCGTTAAAGCAGATGGCTGCTTGTCCTGAACCTGGTTCTGCTGGAGGTTTCTTCCTTTGAAAAGGGAGTTTTTCCTTACCACTGTTGCCTCTGTGCTTGCTCAGGATGGGAGACTTCAACGAAGCCAAGATTCAACTTGTCTGCTGGATTCCTTAGAAAGAGAACTTTACTAATTGGCTTTTATGTTTGTGAATGTTCCTGTAAAGTGCCCTGAGACAACTTTGTTGTGATTTGGCGCTATATAAATAAACTGAATTGAATTGAATTTGTTGGTCAAAGCAACAGTTTCATTGTCATTTGTTTTAACCTGTAGGTGCCTGCAGTGTTGGTTCTGAAGGCCTGGGAGCAGATTTATTTGACCCTAGCAACAGATGATGCTTGAAATAGGATTATCATATTTTCTGGCATATAAATCACAGTTTTTGCAAAGATTTGTCAGTCCTGCGACTTGTACACTGAAGCGACTCATATATATATTTTCCATATTCATAACACAATTTTTGACTGACACTTGAAATTTTTAAGAACTGCAACAGTGAATCCTCCCATGTGTGCTCGTTTCACTCAGCTGGTGCAGGCAGAGGAACGCTGGAGAGCTAGCGGCTCTGGGAGCGATGGATGGATGGATGGATGGATGGCGCTGTGCCGCCCAGGCGAAATGAATCTGTTTTGATAATTGAATAATGCATAATAAACACGACAGGTCAACAGTGATGTATAATAAATGCGACTTATATATGTTTTTTCCTCTTCATGATGCTATTTTTGACTGATGTAACTTATACGCCAGAGTGACTTATATACCAAAAAATACGGTAGTTAAAAACTTTATATAAACACAGACTATTGGAAGCTGCGTAACCAGGAGAAAAGCTGTGAAACAGCGGCCTGACGGTCCACCACTGAGTGACTGTGTCGATGTCAGAGAGGGTTTGTTCATGTTGCTGTAAGGCGTTCATTTGGATGTAAGAGAAAATCTCTCCTTGCCAGTATATTTTTCATACAATTTGTCCAACTTCAGTCCTGGACTCCTGAGTGATTATTTCTGAAGAATTTCCCTGAATGTAATTTTATGTTTATTTAACCTTTATTTATCCAGGTCAGTCAGTTGAAAACTCATTCTCATTAACAACAAAGAGCTAACCAAGACAACAGATCTAGATAAAAGCAATCACGTAAATATGCATACTCATATAACACTAAAAATCATAGATTAAACTTGTACAAGTTATAAAAATGCAACGCAATATTTTACATAAAACAACAGGACATGCAGATTAAAAGCAGGTGCCCTGATCGTACTGAAGGTGGATGACGGAACAAAAGTTCAGCGTTTGAATCGTTTCTGCAGCTCGTAGTTGTTTGAAGCAGCAAACTGAAATGAGACACGACTGAAGGTAGTGAGAGCTTTAGGGACGAAGGAGGAGATGAAACTACTGGAACGTAGATCACGGTTTCTGTTGGAGGTTTTAAGAATTGATCCAAGACATGAAGGAGTTTTGCAGATAAAAGTTTTGTAAATGAACGGGTTCATCCACCTGCGAGAACGGAGCGATGGTCATTGAACCTGTGAATACACAGAGCAGTGGTGAGAGTTAAGGCCTGAGATAAAACAGACTGCAGCGTGGTGCATGACATCCAGTTTGTTGAGAGATTTATTCTAAACAGACCTATATGTGATGTCATCATAATTTAAGAGGGACAGAATTGTCATTTAGATCATTTTGAGCTTTGCAGAATGAGTGAAAGACAATTTATTAGTAGTGTAAGTGGACGAACAGTTAAGATGCTTTTATTGGAAAGAATCCAGCCTTCCTTTTGTTTCTTGACAATGTTTCACCTCACATTAGAGAGGAATTTATCCTTCGGCCTGCTGCTCGTGAGTCTGGTATATTTAAGCTCTTAAAGGATTTTGAACGCTCAGAATGAACTGAGGCTTTAAGTGTTTCTGAATTCATGAAAGCGTTTGGAGGTCGTGAGCTCGGCTGAGACCACGTGGGCTGTTGCATCACCTGCAGCCTTCATGTGAAGCACCAGGGCTCAAAGATAAATGTGGAGAGAGTCAGGAGTGCATTATTATTATTTATTAGTGGTTATTAGGAATGACTAAGATCTGCTTTAGGTGCTTCAGCTCAGTGCAGAGAGACTTCCTTTGTCTTCTGGTTCCAGAGTACCTGACTGTCTTCTGAGCAGCAGGACTCCTGGGTTTCTGTTAAGTCTCTGTAAATAGACTTTGTGCTGCAGACTGAATATAGACCACTGCTCAGGGAAGTCCTCGGGGTAAACAAGACTTGTCTCAGAGTGTTGTTGGATCTGAAATCTACAGGGATGTTAAGTTTGGAGGAAAGACAAGCTATTGTCCTCCTGAAAAACAGCCCTGACATCCCATGGGCAGTTCCACCATCTTGACCCGTGCCATGCCAACGACAAAGATCAGGTCTGTGAGAGACTCTCCGACTCAAAATCTGTAGAGGTGCTCAGATGAGCTGAGCAAACCAGCAATAAAAATAAAAAAAATCTTAGAGGGAGCAGCTTCTGCAGGAGAAACAGATCTATGAACACAACATAAATCACTGCAGAAACAATTGTTTCATATCCAAACTGAAAAATATGGATTCTGCTTAAATGTTTTCCCTTTTTAATCTGATCTGCAGCATTAAATAAGTTTCTATATTCACATTATTCACACGAGATTCAAAATTAGTCCTGAATGCTATAGCAAAACCAAAGTTATGTTGTTTTCCCATAACTGCGGTAATCATTCCTTCTATTAAAACACTGAATGGTGAAATCATAGAACTTGTAGACACATACAAATATCTTATTTGGCTGGATAAAGAGCTTAATTTTAAACATCATATTACATATCTAATAAAAAAGCTAAAATTTACTCTAACTTTTTTTTGTATTGACTGAGATCGTGTTTTTCTATTTCTTCCCGTAAGCGGCTTGTACCGTTTGTTTTTATCACAGCTGGATTACGGAGACACAATCTATAGATTTGTCTCCCACACTATGTTAACTAAACTGGATCCCATTTACCACGCTGCTCTGAGGTATATAACAGGTTCACCTTTTAGGACTCACCATTGTACTTTATATACCCTTGCTGGACTTCACTCAATATTCAAAGGATGAAGCATTGGTATATTGTTATATCCAAAGCTATTTAAAGAAAATTACCATCATATATCTACTCCAAGTCCATTTCACTACAGAACACACACAGACTCGGGGCCAGTAGCTGCTGTGGTTTTGTGCGCACAGAGTCAGGAAAGATGAGTTTGTCCTATTTCAGCCCACGGTCCTGGAATGATCTGCAGCTTAAGTTCAGGTTAGAATCTTTTATTCCTTTTAAACAGAAACTGTCTGAGGTTTTAGTCACATCTTGCACATGTAATGTTTAAATGTATTAAATTGTGATATGCGTTTTAACTTGCATTGCATTTTATGTTTTATTAATGGAGGTTTTGTTGTAATTATTTTAAAACTACTGTTACTGTTCTTAAGACTGTGTTGCTATATTTGCATATTGCCCAGGACATCCTTGTAAAAGAGATTAATAATCTCAATGGATTTCTTACCGGTAAAATAAAGGTTTAAATAAAAAAACAATTAACATCATAAGTCTGAAAGTGATCATTAGATCCTTTGAAGTTGGGTTCTATGAAAAGGTAATGAACAGTTAACATCTTACCTCTTGTAAATGGCTTTTTAAATAACTTCAGTCAGGAGAAATCAAGTTCTTTTCTGAGGTTAAAGTGGATTACTGCTGTCTTAAATCTGGGGTTGTTTAATTAATAATCTTGTCAGGGCAAAGCCGACACTGTAAATATGAATATGTCCTTAATGTCCCGCCTGAAAATAAAAAGTAATTTTTTTTTTTTTCATTTTCACCAGTTCAGTAGATCTACATGGAGGTTGCAGTAAAGCTGAGCTCACCCTTAACTACAGCTTCTACTTTATTACCCTTTCAAAATAAACTACAACTGCAGAAACACATGCTGAATACTCCAGGTTGTTTTTCTTTTTCTGTATTTTTTAAATTATTATTATTTGGAAGGAGGGTGGGAGGTAGGGGTTATGTTGAAAACAGTATACTTTAATTGATAAAACCCCGTAAGGAAACAAGTTGTCGTGTCACCACCAGGTGCCACTGTTAAAATAAAAAGACAGTCATGACGAGCGCATTATTTCATTAAATTCACCTGTTTTTATTACACTTGGAATGTTTACAAATTACTGTCTATTCCTAATTAATTCAGCAGGAATATCATATTTCTGCATGAATAATCAGATCTGGTTCTGTAATATCAACTTATTGATAATGTAAAAGTTTATAAAATACTATTTATATGAACTTTAAAACCTCTGAGACTGGATTTGTTTCTTCTTGGCCTCACTCAACAAACTTCAACTCTATTTCCTCCCAATTGTGGCCATTCAAAGAACCATCTACAACAGGTAAGATATTTTTTATTCATTCAAATGTAGACGATTCACTTTCATTTATATTTTATCATTAAGCACAGATGAGCTGTGACGCCTGAGACAAAAATTCTTCCCCAGTCTCCATCTTTGATTTAATCAAATGTACTGTACAAAATATATACAGTAAATAACAATAATCAATATCTTTATAGCTGTTGACCATTTAAAAGTGCCATCAAATGCTGCCTCCAGGGACAACACAGATGAAATATGAATGATGAAATCACAGCTAATAGATGCACTACAAGCTAAGAGCTATTAGCTTATAGCTAGATGGAAAAGAAGTAACCTCCATCTTCTACCACCTCTGAGGTCGGGTCCAGGAGAGAAACCCAGACCTCCTTCACCCCAGCTCCTCCTGCAGTACACCGAGGTGTTCCCAAACCAGAGTGGGTCTATAATCTGGGCCTGACTTGGGTCTACTCCCTGAACAACTCAGTTGACTCCTTTCGATGAGGAGAAGCAGTGGCTCCCTCCCCCCTCACCTTGTCTATTCTATACAGGTATAAAGTGAACATGGGTTTAATAAAGTGCACAAGTCGTTGAGACGGTTTCATTCTCGTGATTGAAGCGCTTGTTTTATTAATCCAACAGAAACATCACATAATTACAAACATAAAGTGGTGTTTGTTTCTGCTGTTTGTGGTGCTGCAGATCACGCAGACAGCCTGTAACTGCATGATAAGCTGTAAATGAAATAATTCATGAAGTGAGGTCTGCAGCTGTATAAATGTTGTTTGAAAGTGCTCCTTTTGGGAGCATTTAAGTGACTGAGGTCTGGTGATAATCTGCTTTCATTGCCTTAATAACACGTTAAGTAATAATTAATTACATCCTTAGTCCTGGTGGGACAAATGGGCTTGCTAGAAGAATGTTTGAACACAGCAGCAGCATGACCTAAAGAGCTGAAGTATTTATCTCAGACTATGAGTCGCAGTCTGGACGTTAGCTGTTTTTATAATAATCACATTCTGCTGATAATAATAAACTGAATAATTGACTTGATATTATCATAGTTTGGTAGCACTGAAAGGAACAGCAGCTTTTTTTTATAAAACTGTCTTGGACAGAATGATTGCTGAAAGGTGAAAGAGGGCGATAACGATTTGTGTGTCCATGTTTTGTTCTGAGCCGTGGAGCGTCCGATTCTTCAGCTGCAAGCATGTGGAGCTGCTTTTTGAACAAAATGTTTACTTGTGCAACATACAAAAGTGTTTTGGCTCTTTACATCCAAACTAAAACACTTTTGTTGGACAAGATTAAAGGCAGAACTCCGTAGAGACGTTCGTCTGGAAATCACAGACCTCTTCCGGGGCAAGTTGAACTCCTTCCCAGTAAATCTTTACAGAGACTCTCAAACAGTGGCAGCTGGTGGAATTTTCTCCAGGGGGGCTATAACTCTTATATATATATATATATATATATATATATATATATATATATATATATATATATATATATATATATATATATATATATTCAATTCAATTCAATTCAAAAATACTTTATTAATCCCAAAGGGAAATTATTTGTTGTTGTAACTCGTTATCCAGAGCGTTGGCCACTCCTCCCATCAGTCTGTCGTGCTCCTCGTCGCTGCGGACAGCCAACTGTAAGTGCCGAGGGACGATCCTGTCCTTCCACTGTCATGAGCTGTGTTTCCTGCTAGTTCCAGGATCTCAGTGGTCAGGCACTCGAGCACAGCTGGCAGGTAGATGGGAATGCATCCACAGAACATCCTTTTAAACTCATTTGAGATTTGGGGCTGTAGTTGAGATATTATTTGAGCTTTTGAGATGTTAATCAGCTGCTGTTGTTGTAGAAAACTGCCTTGTTGCCATGGTTACGCATCATAACAAATGTCCAAAACTAAAAAAAGTTTCAATAAAAATCATTCCAGCTGCACAGCATCTGAAACCAGAAGAAACAATCATCCAAAAAATGTGACTTACATCCAGAAAAAGAGGAATTAAAGTTTCCAAAAGCAAAATCTCAGAATGAAAGTAACAGAGCTGCTCCAACATA